TTTTTTTTTTTAAAGGTCAAGAGTCTGTTTTGAGAATACGATGTTCTCTCCAGAAAACCTTTAGTCTTTTGCTAATCTTTCCCTGCTTTTCTCCTGCTTTAATACAAAAGTAATTGGCCGAGGGAAGCCCTGTGTGCCTTTTTAAATGAGGTTTTCTTGGGCACTAATTAAAGAGACATTCCCTGTGCTTTAGTGGACCCAACGCATTGGCCTTTTGATCTCAATTAATATGCTATTTTTAGTATCTCCTTTAAAGGGTCTTGTCTCTCCTTTTGTGTTCATATCTAGGTTGAGCCTGGAGGTCTTTGGAGTAAACATAGATGCAGATGAATAGATGTAAAGAAAAAGTCTCCCACGAGGCACGAAAATGGGAATGTCTTAAGTTTTCGTCTGGACTCTCCCAGCTGATTTTTGCTGTCTTTCTTCCTGTGCTTTTATGCAAATAAAAATTTTCTTCTTCTTCATTTGGCTCTTTTTTTTCTTTTTTTTTTAAACAGTCAATTGACTTCACAAGCTGAAACGAGAGGCTTGTGTTTTATTGTCCATGTGACCGTGTGCTGTTTTTTTTTTTTTGTGTGTGTGTGTGTGTTTTTTTACATTCTTATGCCTGTCTTTGCACACCTTCAGGTTAATACAAGGCCTAATCCAGCAAATGACTGCAGTCACGCTGTCCCAGACTCTATAGCTAACAACAGGTGAGCTTTCTGGGGCACAAGGATCATGTTACACTACCTGGAATAAACAACTAAACCTCTGGTTGGTAAATGTGGTGAAGTCTGATATACTGTTTTCTGTCCTCCAGCTTAAAAAAGTCATCTGCAGAGCTGAAGAGGATCTTGACAAATGGCCAGGTTAGTGTGTGCTTTGGGGTTTCTGTACAATTCCAGCCTGTAATCTTACTGCTGTTGCTCTGAGACCTACTGAGGGGCTGTGGGCATGTCATACAGGGTGTGTATTTGGATGTTGTCTCGTCACGCTGACTGCACCCAATATATAGACTTGCTCTCTCCTTTCTCACTCACACGCACTCTGACTCTGTAACTAGTGTATGCATTCAGACACAGTGGCTATCATGTAGGAAGAAAATTAGACATACAGCCTTCCTGGTTTCTACCTGATTGTTGGGGTTTCACTGTATTACTGTGGGGTCTTTATCTTAAAATATACAGTGCCTTGAGGTGACAGTTGTTGTGATTTGGCACTGCATGAATAAAATTGGAATTGAAACCATCATTTCTCTTTACCTCCATCTTCTCACCTTGCTATCACATTAGTTGTGGTTAAATTAGGGAGGGTCCATTATCACGTGTTGTGTGCAGGCATGTTTACATGTTTACTGCACAGCCTGACCCTTATCAGTACTCATCCACATTCTAAATATCAAAATAAAGGAACTTTTTAAACTAATGTATTGTTAGTCTGCAGCCTCAGTGAACATCACACACACTGAGGTCATGTTGAACGGAGGCAATAATTAGAAATTAAAAATATTCACTTTATTTTGTTAATTAAAAAATTATACACGCAAATAAAAGTACTTTTAAAAATAATGACAAATAAAAAAATGTATTTTTGGCACAAATTTTAAGTTGTGTAGTTACCAAAACGTGTAGTGGATTTATTTTGCTTTTGTATTTTTATTTTGCATTATTAAGGGACATATTTTAATATTGAATAGTGATGTTTTGAGTAATTTTCACCCTAAAATCTTAGACCAGGACAAACGTTACATAATGAACTGTAAAATGTATTTATGAATTGAATACATGATGGCTGTCTTACATAAAAGTATGCTGATATTATACAAAACAACAACATACAACTCTTACTTGTTTTTTCATGGATTTTATTCTGCCTTCTTCAATGCTTAGTTGATATTTATATTTACATAAGCTTTGCCTCAATCAATTATTTCATCGTCCTGGTTGGAAAAATCTACAAAATGTACAAGAGGAGGAAGCTACATGATCACACCCTGACTTAAAAAAATAAATAAATGATGAAATGATTGAAAACAACTCATCATTAAATCCTACAACATTCAGCGTCCCACTCGCCCAAACACAGTATTGTTTCTTTGTTTTAAATTGGACAGCAAAACCTTGTATTGATCTCTTCTCCTCCTTCTCTTATTTTGTTTTTCACTCCTTACGTCGCTGAACTTGGACTGACCTGAATTCTTGTCTTGTTTATAGCCTTCAATTACAGTGCAGTCCCATCTCCCTCACGTGCTCACATCTCTGTCTCTCTGCCAGTTTAGTTACACATGTAATTCAGCGGTTGTATTGCTTCTCATGTTATAACATCCACTTACAATCAGTGTAATCCTGGGTGTGTTTCCTTCTCTGCAGATAAATGCCCAAGATATCCACTATCAGGAGCAACTTGGCCATGGAAATGGAGGCACAGTTTACAAGTAAGTGTTTGTTGGCTCTCACGATGAGGCACCAGCATTGCAAGGCCAAAGCACTGTAATGGATAGTGACACTGAAGAGATTATGGTGCATTCAGTAAGCCTGAAAAAACTGTACCTGGCAGATATTCAACAAGAGTGGGTACTTTTAGATTGAGTGTGACTTCTATCATTTTTCTGTCCACTTTTTCTAACAAAATAGGACTCAAAACTGCATTTTGTGTGAAGGGGTTTCATTCCTCACAGCACTCTTTCTGTTCAATTGTGTCTCCATCTATCACTCACTGTTTGGTGGGGCATCTGTCAGGCTGATTTTCATCTGTACCTTCATTTTTTTTTTTTATTCTGGGTTGAAGGTTGCAAACATATATGATATCGATTTGGGGCTGTAAGGTATGACAGCCATTGACTTAATTGGCCTATAGTAAAGCACATAACCTACCACCAAGAAGACTTCCATCCTTTCTGGCTAGACAAATGTATGACTGACCTGATAACGTTGTGACAAGGTTGGCATTTGTGTCGCTCCTTCTATCTTTCTTTCCCCTACCTTGTGCTTTCTCTTTCCCATCAATCCTCAGCTATTGAGCTGTTTTATTGAGATTGAAGTATTGATCACTGCTCAGACTAACCTTGGCTTGACGGAGTGCTCTGCTTCTGATAGTCCAACAAATCCAAACGTCTATCTTTTTTATTTCTTCATCCTTTTCTTTCCAAACACCTTTTACTGTTTTATGGTTTTTCTGAGGTTTTTTTTAATATATAAAGCTGCAGTTTCTTATAGTTGTCATAGAATAAGATTGTTCATCAGTTTGGCACCAGAAGTGGTTACACTGCACAGGGGAAGGCCAATACTGCAAACCCAACAACTTTTCAGTCAATTTAGCCCAGCAAAAAATCTATATGCAATGCTGCTGAACTTTCTAAGGTTGAAAGGAGACGATTTTGAAAAAACAAAACAAGTAATGTTTGTTATTTGTGTTCTATTTATGTGTTTATCTAATTTTAATTTGGCTTTTACTATTATTTAATGAACATGCTTTAATTGTTTGACAGATACTTTTGCAGGTCAGAATCATTTAGACAAGCAAAGGAAACCAAGTGTACTGAAAAATGTGCATGTTGACCGCTCACTCTCCTACCATCTTTACTATGTGTGATGCTAATTCCATTTAGCAAATTTTGTGACATAGAAATGAGGCGATGCTGTGCCCTCTTCAGGACCTGCTGTTCATTCCAGCTTATATTGGGCCTATCACTTGTGAAGAGCACTACGATAAGCTCCCCACCTTTTAACCTCTTAGCCCATTTATGACCTAGAGCCATTTAGACTCAATTGGATGTTACCAACATCTCAGCTCTCCATAGCCACATGCTGACCTAACCATCCATCAATGTCAGCCTTTGTTTTTTATTACACACTCTTTCAGAGGTCCATCTTGTCCGCCACTCCTACTGACTCTACGTCTTATAAATACAATAACAAGGACACACAGGCTGTACTTGTGACTCGTGGCGGTGCAATTAAAAGAAGCACATTTGCCTGGCTGTGGTGACATCTACTTAGACATCCACGGCTGCTCCTTTAGTGTCTCAGCCCATTTTCTCCATTGATTTTATTTTTCCTTTATATTGATCATTGTGTTTCAAATGGCTGTGCTTCACTGGTTGATTGCTCTTAGATTTTCTAGTTGTCTGAAGAACCAGAGGCATTGTGTTTCCATATATCTGTCTTTTTTTTTTTTCAATTTTTTGTTTCCTTTATTAAATTTGGTCCAATATATGAATTTGTGCAGTGATGGGTAAGAACTAGAGCCTTAACAGGTATACATTTTGGGGATGGATAACTTCACCCATAAATGCTCAAGCCTTCTCTGAGTGAAACTGTTTCCAGCTATGCTGCAGTGTTTGGTGTGATACATGGATGTCCCACTCTAAACACTTGATCTGCATTTTTACCAAACTGGAGAACAGTGTTGGTCAAGTAAAGCTATTTAAACCTATTTTCTGCATATTCCAGCATATAAAATAAAAGGCGGAGGTTTGCCCTGGTGCAGGTGTGTCACAGTGGAAGGATCCAGCAGTTTCTCTGTGAATTTCACATTTCCGTGGCAGCGTACTCTGTGCTTTCTCGGACGTTTAGGGGGTTTTTCGTTGTAAAAAGAAGTTTTCTTCCCACACAGTGAGCAGCGGACGCTAATGTTTTTGTCACTTTTTACGGAATCAAACTCAAAGTAAGGTCAGTATTTCCTCGCTTTAAACGCTGCACGGTCATATGCTCTCCCGCACTCGTTATATTATCCATTGTTGATCTGTTGCCACGAACGTCGCACTCGCTTACGTCACTGTCACGAGACACTCTTGCAAAAAAAAATCACGGTTTTAGTAACGCCCTAACGCAGCGTGCTTACGGGAAAGTAACGATAATCGAATTGCCTTTTTTTGTAATAGTAATCTCTTACTTTACTCGTTACTTGAAAAAAGTAATTGGATTACGCGTTACTGCCCATCTCTGCTTGAGAATAAATAGCACCTTTTGCACCAATCTTAATGTTGAGGATGTTGATCCAAAGACCAAATGGCAGTATCCATTGGAGGAGTCAACAGTGGCTCATAAAGTGTGCTCAACACTCTTTTTAAGCATTCAAGGTGATGATCAGACTGTTGGTCGTGCTATAACTTCCTGAATCATCTAAATCGGATAATTTACTGCCTGCAATCATACCCGGACCTACTGCACATTAAAAGCACAGGCGTACTTTTTGACTATACCAATACATTTCTCACTCATCGCCTAACCTTCCTTCAGGTTTAGCTTCCTATCATCACATCCTCTGTCCTAAAATCAAATTCAACTTGATGGGTTGCCTGCGTGCTTTGTGCATGTGCTCAGCCCAGGACTTCTATGGGGCAATGTACAAGGCTGATTTTGAAGTGGTGAATATAATTTAGATGAGTTATGGTTTTTGATATTTGTATATGAAGACCTGTTAAGCTAACTTGGGTCTCATTAATGCACATCTATATCTGTTTCATCCACAAGAGGCCTGTTCACAAAAATATTGAGCGTTTTTCATACAGTGGTAAAGAAACCTTTAAACGCTTTTTATTTGAACTCTGGATTTCTGCTCATAATGTTTTGGATAATTAGGGAGCCTTTTATGTCTCTGTGTTTGGGTTTCTGTCAGTCTGTGGCACTTGGGTGACCGGTGAAAGCAGTATCAGGTGAGGGAGTCAGGGAGAGAGAAAGGCAGCTCGTCGTCCATGTGGCAGTGTAAGCATAGCACGTTACCCTGATCCAGGAGGCCGATCTCTAACCCACGGCCCCAACTTCAGAGACATAGAGAGAGGCCCTATGAATACTGCATGATGAAGCTTTTATTACAGAGCGAGCTAGAGTGTAAATAAGATCCAGGCAATGGGGCACGTTTACTGGGGTCAGATCAGGGGGAAGTGGCAGGGGGTGGCTATGTAACCTTGTCCCCATGTCTCCTGCTGTCACTAGCCTGTCACTGTAACTCATACAGGGATGTTCGGCCCTGAGGCAGTCAAGGACAACCTCAGAATAAAGCTTCAGTGCAGTAGAGGTCCTATTGCATCTCCACCCCTAAAACATGCCCTGAACATGCATTTCTTTAAACTTGGAGATTAAGAAGCTAGTCACTGTTTCTATTGTGGCCTCCTTTAGCTGCAGAAACCGCCATCAGATGTTTCCTATAGTTGAGATGTTTGTAACTTGAGACTTGCATGACGAGGAAATAACTTGCAGAGGACCACTCTTCCTCCAAAACCATGCAAGTCCATCAATATTTCCAGACTTCATAGAACAGCTTATAGCTTGCTATGCATCATAATTGGCTGAGGTTAAGATCATTGTAGAATTTGTACTTCCTTTATTCCTGAAAAGCAGTGTTCAGTTTTTCAACATTCTTAGCCTCCTCAGTGAGAACAATAAGTTGTTTAGCACGGTGAAGACGTGGTTTAATCTTCTTTCAGGCTGCCACACTTACACAGCCTGCCCAGTCAGTATTTAACATGTCTACCCCTGCAATCTTGCCTCAATTAACATCTTTGTCTTAATTAAGAAGCAGCAGTCATGCTTAACTGATATTGATTGTAGCTTAAAGGAAGACCGAGACATCAAAATGAAAACAAGGCTATCAGCCTTCGTGTTCAAAGAGCTCTGGTCTAGAAAGATGACGCTTAAATTCTTAAACACTGTATCCGTCTTGAGGCAAAAAGAAATGACAGTGTGAAATCAGAAGAAGCTAATGGAAAAAATATTTAACAAAAAACAACAAAAAAATCTGGCCTTCTTGTTTTATCTGTAAAATTTGGCTCATGGCAGACCTTTGTCATGGGTCCTGACACAAATTGAAGTTGCAAGTAATTCAGAGGATTATTTAAGCAATACTGACTCTACTACCTGTAGATTCAAGGAGAGGGCATAGAAGCTGAGACCCTGTAGCTATCAGTGAATTTAATAAATTGTTTAATATGTGAGGTTACTGTTTCTTCTCTGGACACCTTGAAATAAATGACAATCACTTAAATGTCTGAAGTTTGTCTTTAATTAGGGGAAAAAGAGAAATGTGGCATGGCTGTAGTCAGAAAGCCAGAGCCAAAGTTAGCTCTAACTGTGGGTAAAAACCTGAAAGGCACTAATAGGTACCATTAATTAAAGGCCTGGGACAGTTTAGAGGTATCTGTCCGAAGAGAAATGCGATCCTCCAATCTTAGACACATTAATCACACCTTGTGCAATGCACATTCTCTCTGGATGACCCACAGACGGTTGAGTAGCCAGGTATCACATTTACTAAGCCTGTTTGTGAGCTAACCAGCCTGTGTGACGTACACTGAAGCCAGCTCATCCCCATCACCTGACAGCTGTTGGACAGTATTTGTCCTTGAGGATTGTATGTTGAGAGGTCACCGGTCCCGTAAACTAACCTTCAAGGGCTGTAACTAAAGCCGATGTTTGGCATTAAGGAGTTTGATAATTAAATCATTATGGGGCCAGGTCGGTGGCTGCTGCTTTACTTGCAACTCAAAACTCTGTCTGGAGCAACTAGACAGAGGCTGACTGCATCAGGTTTTGCGTGATGCTCTCTGACCTTGAAGAGAAATAACAGCAGGATATTGTCAGTCTGGTTTAGACTCTGCTCAAAAAGTCCGATGTGGATGATTTATAGTCAGTTCTTTTGGTCAATAAAACATTATTGAACTAACTGTAGCATTACTCGCATCATCACAGCTTGTGGTGGTTTTAATCAGATAGCGTTGCATGTTTTTCTTTCAGAACAGAGTCTAGAGCAGCTTCATGTAATAGAAGTGTTAAAGGGAGTAAACTTTAATGGCAAAATATGAATTTATGAGCAAAGTATGGCCCTCACATTCACCAGATATGAACATCATTGAGACTCTATGAAAAATGCTGTAGAAGAATAAGAAGCTACTTTCAGCTGCTCCCTTATTCATAAGGGGTGAATATGGGACTATTTGTATGAGGCAGGTTTATTAAATACTGAGTAACGAGGGTGCTCAAACTTGTATAAATGCCATATTTCTTTCATTTTGTAAGTTCATTAAAGAAAAAGTAACAACATATTACTGTCTGAGACGGCATTCCCTTTTTTCAGTTTTGTTTTAACCTTATTGTCTTCTCTTTTGACCCATCCAGAGCGTACCACGTTCACGGCAAACGGGTTTTAGCTGTCAAGGTGAGAATTCCTTCCATTTACATGACGATCATAGTGCTTACTCTTTCATTTAGTCCGTCCCTTTGAAACATCAGCGGAATTTGTTGGTGTCGAGTTTATAATTTTGCTGCCCCTTTTGTCTCGCCCATGTCTGATTGCAGGTCATTCCCCTGGATATCACGGTGGAGTTACAGAAGCAAATCATGTCAGAATTAGAAATTCTCTACAAGGTTAGTTTTGAATGACTAATTTGCCTCCTGTTCTTCACCAAAACATTTTTTTCTCCACTGATGTCTGATGTCCTACCGCACCTACATTTTTAATTAATCATGAGTCTAACTAATGAAATGCCATTTATCACCTCTGGTCTTACTTACTAAGCCAGGGATCAGTGATACATGAATGAACAGGCACACAAATGTGTGTGTGATCTGAGAAAGAATATATACATAGTCTGTGTGTGTGTGTGTGTGTGTTTGTGTAATTAAATGATAAATGTAGTACTTCTTTCAGCAGTTAGACTTGCAATGGATGCTGCAGTGATGCTTTTGAATCATGGACTGAAATCTTAAAATCTGATCACAAAAAGCTTTTGTGCAGTTCATTCCTGATAATTTTTCTTTTTTTCTTTTCAAATTTATTTCTTTTTATTTATTTATTTTTTTCGTAATCCTGAATAAATATTTTTGGCATGCTCTTATATGATCACATTTTCTGTGCTCTTAAATTGCAGTGTGATTCTCCCTACATCATCACTTTCTTCAGTGCCTTTTTTGTAGAGAACAGGATATCAATATGCACAGAATTTATGGACGGTGAGTTTCTTTGCGACTTAAGCAAGTAGCTTGTTTTTTTCCCTTTGCTAGCTACAGTTGTATAAAAGAGACTTTGGGGGAAAAGTCCTCTTTCTCTCTGCCGTGTACCCATTTACACTTCTGCAGATCAAGAGAATGTCTGATCGCTGTAAGCTGTTTAGCATGCCTGTGTGCTAAAAGCTACAAGGGCGTGATAAATCTTGACTTAAGTGCAGTTGTAGGTGTATTTGTGTGTGCCTTTACTGGTGTGAGATGGAGAACTGTGGGTTTTTTTTGTTTTTTGGGGGGAGGTGGGGGAAAGCTGTATATGTTTGTCAAACTGTGTGTTAATGCAGTGATTTCCCTCGATTCACACATTTTCTAGCTTGTCAGCAGTCTGTATAACTTCTGAGTACTCTGTTAGTTCATGAAGCATCATGAAATTTCTGGATGTATGTCTACAAATGTAAACAGGTTCACATATAGCAAACACTGAATGATGATTGGGTATAATTGTGTATAGTTGCTGTCATTTTGCAGAATACTTGGATGATATCCTCAGTATCACTTTATCTTAAATTAACTGGGTAGCGTTTTGATGATGTTATAAAAAAAATGACTGATTAGACTTTTATTTGTATTATTACTACTACTATTTATTATTACTTTTATTATTTCATTTTTATTGATTATTTATGTATTTAAATTAGTTTTGTGTACTTTTTGCAGTGTATATGTAGGTCAGCATTGCTCTCTTGGCAATGATGTCAGTTCAGGATCTGTGGGCTAGATAAGTAATATAAAACCTGGATTAAGATGAAATGAGCATTTCTTCTTTTTTTTTTAATCTGAATTGTGCAACATGTCTGTATTACTGTAACGCTCTAAATATACATACGCACATACACTTATACATGCATACATTGACACTGACTAACCTGTGTCAATGGGGAAATCTGTGTTGTGCAGGTGGCTCATTGGACGTCTACAAAAGAATTCCAGAGCACGTGCTTGGAAGGATTGCTGTGGCGGTAAGTGTTCATAAAGTATGCAGAGTTTCCCTGCTGTAAAGTTAAAACATTTTTTTAACTCTATATACAGAGCTCTAGCTGCGAGCACAACAGACCCCACCTACCTGCTATTCAAACTTTCTGTTTGCAAGAAATCAGCTAATCAGATAAAAGTTGGTTTAAAGGGATTTGGTGCAGCACTAAAAAACTTTTTTCAAATTGCGGATGAATAGAGGCTAAACAATTGTCTGCTATAATATAAATATACAATATTTTAAATAGTGAAGTCAAAATTCAGGACTTTTTATTGCCCCTCTGTTAGCCTGGTTCTTCCAGAGGTTTCTACCTGTTAAAAGGGAGTTTTTCCTTCCCGCTGTTGCCAAGTGATTGCTCTGATTGCTGGGTTTTCTTTGTATTATTGTAGGGGTTTTATCGTAAAGTATAAAGTGCTTTGAAGTGACTGTTGTTGTTGTTGTGATTTCTCACTTTATGAATAAAACTGAACTGAAGTGAATTACAAAATTACAGTTATACTACCAATACTAAAGGAGTTATATATGTTGACATGTATAAAAAGTATAGCATCAACAAATTGTGTATATACATATCTAAGCATATATAATATGTTATGGCAAAGCCCTAGGGAGACGGTTAATTTGTACTTCTTGTACTTTTTAAGATAGCGCTGTCGACCCTCTATAGCACATATGTTTCAAAGTTGTGGCCCAAATACAACAGTGGTCCCACTTCCTCCATGGCAGACTATAACAGCAGGAAACCCTTGGTTACTAATTTGTCAGCAGATATAGACTACTGACAAATTGTAGCATTTGCCTAGCTCTAGCTGCTTTCTACATCACCATTCATATAACTGCTAAAAGGTTAATAATAATAATAATAATAATAATAAT